ATGTACATTTTGTATCTGAGTATTCAAAGTGGTTAGGATAGATATATACTTACATTCTCTTAATGAATAGAGGGACTTGTTCTAATGGTGTTTGTAAACAGGATATCATGTCCTCATCTTGTACAGCAATTAACCACTAGGAAGAATGTATGCAATGTGTCAATTATTGAAACTGCCCTACCAGTTTGGTTTGAAACTGTCTCATTGCTATTTGTTTCTCAATAAAATTATGGGGAAAAAAATGGACATGTGTAAGAGGCAGACTTCCCATGTGAGCCTGCTGGTAACAAGGCAACACCCATGAGCTGCTCTAAACAATAATGGAAAAGGAACCAAGACACTATCCACGAAACTATTAAGCACAAAGGAAGACAGAGATAAAGGAAGAGAAAGAGAAAGTATCTACCAAACAGCCAGAAGAAAACTATGACAAATGGAAGTCATACGTCCTTATCTCCTGATAGCAACTATGAATGCTAATCCATTGAATAAAAAGACATACCAAAAAAAAAAAAAAAAAAGACATACAGGGCCGACAAGATACCTCAAAGGACGAAGTGCCTGCTTAGGCAAGCTCAGGGACTAGGGTTCGATAGCCGGCACTGCAAGGCCCCACACCCAGGTCCTGTGAAGAGGTGACCAAGTCTGGGGATGGTGGCACAGGCCTGTAATCCCAGCACTGGGTAGGCTGAAAACAGGAGGATCACTAGGAGTCCCGGATGGCTAGTGAGATCCTGTACCACACACATTTAAAAGAGACACTCAGTGAAGCCACAAGATACTTAAGCCCATGTGTCTGATTTATTTCACGGAATAGTACCTCTTATTTCATGGAGGAGTAAAGGAAGTACAGAAAATTTTGCCACTGCAAAATGTATCTAATGTGTTTTCTATCAAAGTCCTATAAAACTCAGAAAAAACACAGGATGAGTTTGATGGAATTCACATGGTCATCAATAAGTACGTGTTTCTTGGCCACCCTATGTGTCCTGGAAAAAATGAAAAGGAGACTGAAAATGATCTTAAATTACACTTGAAACACAACACACCAAAAGAGACAGGACATAACAATTCTAAAAGGTCAGTCTCTGGCTATAAACACTGACAAAGAAAAGTTCAAATTATTCAAAAATTAT